AGTCAGTTCATGTACTAGGGATAAATTTTAGTCCCGTTGCCAGTGACCCCACAAACTACCCAAGTTAGATAACTGTCACCCACATTCAGAGGACCTCGTTTGGTCCTATGCAGGTTCCCCAGCTGTCAGTCCAGAGTCAGTGAGCTCTCACTAGCTCAGGTCAGCTGTCTCTGTACTCAACTTCTTATGGAAAAATGAATACCCAGGATAGCTAAAGCAATCCTGCACAAAAAAGGAACCTCTGGAGGCATCAGCATTCCTGACTTCAAGCTCTACGATAGGGCTGTAGTAACAAAAACAGCTTGGTATTGGCATAAAAACAGACATGAGGATCAATGGAATCAAGTTGAAGTCCCTGACATTAATCCACACTCCTATGAACACCTGATTTTGGACAAAAAAAGTAAAAATTGTACACTGGAAAAAAAAGACTCTTCAACAAATGGTTCTGGCATAACTGGATGTCGACGTGTAGAAGAATACAAATAGACCCATATCTATGCCCATGCACAAAACTCTAGTCCAAATGGATCAAAGACTCAACATAAATCCAATTACAATGAACCTGATAGAAGAGAAAGTGGGAGGAAGCCTTGAATGCACTGGCACAGGAGACCACTTCCTAAATATAACACCAATAGTACAGACACTGAGAACAACAATCAATAAATGGGACCTCCTGAAACTGAGAAGCCTCTGTAATACAAAGGACAGGGTAAATAAGACAAGACAGCAGCCTACAGAATGGGAAAAGATCTTCACCAGCTCCACATCTGACAAAGGACTGATCTCCAAGCTATATAAATAACCCAAGAAACTAGACAGCAAAATACCAAATAATCCAATTACACCTTCCATTTCTAAGACATGAATCCCAGCAGAATCTTTAGGCCCAACCTGAGCCTCATCTAATTCATCTGTTGAAGTCTCTACGTCCTGTGTGTCAGGATATGGCTTCAGCGGCACAGGATCTCTAAAGAGGCAATTAAGATCAACTGAGACTGTTGGGGTGGATGCTAATCTCGGTCCTCATCTGTGTGGAGTTGCTACAGTTGCTACACCTAAGGAGACCAGCAATGCATGGTTGCAAAGGGGATGACAATGTGACGCTAAGGAGAGGAGGTCATTTCAGAAACGAAGTCTTTGGACACTTTGATGTCAGACTTCTAGGCTCTAAAATTGTGAGGAACTAATATCTGGCGCTCCAGGCCACCCACTAGTCTAGGCAGACAGATGAGCCAAAGTTTGCGACCTTGTCTGAGTTTCACTGTATCTGTGACCAGAAGGCTTGTCGCGATCCTGACTCTAGCAGCACGAGGTGACTGTTCAACATCTTGTTTATAGAACGCAGTGCATTCCCTGCTAATGGAAAATTCTCACATGTGTTAGAACTTGTCCTTGCATTCGCTGGGACTGGCTGAGTACCCATTGCTTGCTTGTAGAAGAGACTATCCATCTAGTTTGTAGGAGTAGTGCTATTGTCTGCTCATTTTGGCAATTGTTCCTTATGATTTTTTGCTTTCAGTTAATTTTTTTGTTATTTTACCATGGAGAATTTAGGTTTGTGTATGTTCAAACTCTTTTTCTTTTCTGACCTCTCTGGTTAAAAAGCTGCTCGTGCCACCACAAGTCAGATGGTTCACAGGGGTTTCTCCCATTTTTTGATTCCATAATTTAGTTATATCCCTTAATCTGACCTATATTTTGATGGTATGCTAGTGGAATATAGACTAATTTTCCTCTTCAAATAATAAACTTTTACTCTACAATATTCTGGGGGAGGGGAGGGTAATCCACTCAACAGTCCATTAAGTAGACACGCTTCCTTTTCTAGGTTACTGCATGCCAGGATCTATTGGTTGTTCTCTTTCATTGTTATTTTTCCCCACCATTAATGCCATTGTCTTGTAATTGCTATACCAATTACATATTTAGCTACCTAACAGGGTAAGTCTTCCTTCTGACATTGCATTTAAGACTCTCCTATGTCCATTCCACCCAGGGAATTTTAAAGTAATTTGTTATATTCTCCAAAACAAACCATTGAGTCCCCAGTTAAAGTCACATTGTCTATTGTGTCTCTCTAATGAGAAAAACAATGCCACTTTACTCAAACCTATTTATTAAACACCTCTCAGACTAAAGATTGGCATTTTAAACTGTTACTATTGTGAATGATGCCCATTTCCATATGGATTTTTAATTATTAAATCACATGAAAGCTATTGATTCGGGAATACTATTCTAAGCAGTGCCACTTTGGGGAGTTTTCTTATTGATCCTAACAGGAACGCCTTCCCCTTCCTTCCTTCCCTCCTTCCCTCCTTCTCTCCTTCCTTTCTTCCTTTCTTCCTTCCTCCCTCCCTCCCTCCCTCCCTCCCTCCCTTCCTTCCTTCCTCCTTTTCTTTCTTTGTATTTTATTGCATTTTTTTGAAACACAGTCTCACTATGTAGTCCTGGGTAGCCTGGAACTCACTATGTAGGCCAGGCTAGCCTCAAATTCACAGGTCCACCTGCCTCTTCCTCTGAGTGGGATTAAAGATGTGTGTTGCCGAGACTAACTTTCCATTATTTTACAAGGCTGTAGTTAGGTTATTACCATGTATAGCCAATATGATTATGTGGAAGCCTCATCATAAATGCCTCCATTAGAGGTTAAAAACTATTTCTTCACTTGTTTGGTTTAGGTTTATGCCTCGTTGTTTCCCAGCAAGCACAGATTGTGGCTCTCTGGAAAAGCACGTGACTTTGATAGGCTGCTATTCGATTGTCATGGATGGCACTAAACGTGGGAAATCTGACAGGCATCAATCAGAAGCATAGCTTTTATTCTTGGTTCAAACCAGATCATCAGACCATTAGGGAACCACACCACGACTTTGCAGTGTCCTGGCCCTATAGATTTCTCCTTCTTATCTTGATTTCCATTAAGATATTCTTAGACCACCTGTGCAGCCTATGGTCACACTTGTTTGTCAAGGGTATTTTTAAGGTATGTTCTGTGATAACACAGCAACTTTGTAGACTTTTTACTGCCACACCACACAAAGCCTGTTTATTTATTGCCTGTTTAATGGCATCTGGGGATTGACTTTCCCTTTTCTCTCCCACTGCCGAAGACACTCTTAGAACAAAACTTGCTGCTCAACCAGAGCCATTATCTGGACCCTCAGAGCTGACACAGTATTCCCTTCGTGGTTCTACCTCCTCCTCCCTGGTCTGCATCTCACCACTAATACTTTTTGTAGGTCATTCTGAATCACTTTGGGAAAGAAGGCCAAGTGTATGGGGCCTTTTCTTTGCTGCTGTCACGTGGCTGTCACTGTTGCAAAGGAGCATGTGACAGGTGTCTCTAAGGAGGGTCGATGGTGCCCAGTGGGAGGTGGTAGGGGCCGCCCTACTCTGACTTACCAGGGAGCTTGCAACACAAGGGTCTGGGACAAGGGCAGCAGGTGCATGTTGTGGGAGGTCCTTCCGCTCCTCCAGATAATAGCCGCTGAGATACTAACCCATTGGGGCGTGGTCTCTCTCTTTAAAAAAGCAGAGTCTTCCCTCCTCACTCTCTCTTACTTCCTGCTCCGCTTCCGGCGACTAGACTCCTTCCTGATTGCGCAGAGGGCTGTTGTCTGGGACAGTGATCTGTAAGTTTTTTCCCCTTTAAATAAATACCACCTTATTAATCATAATTCCAAACTGCTGTGGGATTGTTTGTGACTTATGCCTTCAGGTGCATGTCCTTCTGCTATGAGGAGATCTACAGTCAGCCCCCAAAACGAGTCTCACTCCTTTGGATTGTGGCATTTTTAAAAAGGAATGATTTTTTAAATGTTTTTCATTTTTTTTTAAAAAAATGTTTGCTAATACTTCATATTTTAGAAATACTTTGAATCAAAAGAAAACAGAATGGTGGTTGCCGGAGTGGCATAGGAGAAAATAGGAGTTGTTCAACAGTGCAAAGACTTGTTTATATGAGCTTAAGTTCTAGAATTCTGCTATACAGTCCAGCACCTCAAGCTAGGAATACAGCATTGGCCACTTAGAATTCCCTGAGGGTAGACCTCATGGCAAGGGTTCTTGTTACAACAATAACATAAGCAACAACCATAATTAGAGCAAAGGGACACAAAGTAACTTCTAGAATGTTATGGGCGTCACACGTGAGTGGAGCTGGCCAAACCCATCTAGTCTCCTTAGGTAGGGCCAGCTCTGTATATCAACTAAACCTTCACAGACTGCTTAAAAGATAACAAGAGCTCTGAACCAAGTTACCACCCAGTCCATACCTGGGTCTTTGGTCTTTGAGACACCTGAAAACAGGAATCAGGAACCCAGTTACCAGGAGACAATGCAAGTCCTTTTCCATCAAAGCAGTGATGTCATAATGGCATCAGTGATTGCTCAGGCTTAAGCCTCTCAGGAGCCTGGTTTAGAGTTCTTGGATTTTGTGAACAAAGATTAGGAAAATGATCTCTACAAACCGGAAACAGCCTTGGTGTATGGATCTCTGTAGCCTTCCTAATACAAAAGAATAGCAAAGACATGACTCACTCCAACCCTGTGTTTCCAGAAGTTTCTTATCAAAATCCACAAAGACATGTGAGCACCAGAAAATACATGGGACAAGAACTTTCCACTGCACTTCAGGTGTGTAATTCTATTGCATTTCCAGGGTTGCAGCAAATACCCAAGGAGCAAGACTTTCAAATATGAATTTTTTAAAAAAAAAAAGTGCAAAGTAAGATAGCAGGACTTTCTGATTCCATCCAAGGAATCTCTAATTTCACCCTTTTTACCAAAAACAAAAAAACAAACAAACAAAAACAAAAAACCCACCATGGCCACTGCTTGCTTTGATTCTTTCCAATCAAAAAGGTGGCCTCCATGTTTCTGACATTCCAGCAGAGCCTTTTGGGAGAACACATTTGTCTTATGTGATCGTTCTTTGCAAGTTAAAAAGAAATCAGCTATTAACTCATTTGTGATGCGCTCAGAATATCTGATTACTTTAATTCTTCAATGTTTGCATCCAGTTTTTCCCTGAGGGCGCCGGAAAATTCAGCCACCTTTTCTTCTTTTTTGTAAAACTGGAAAGTTGGGAGGGTAAAGACATCCCGGTCTTGTACCAGTTCTACGCAGTCATCAGCATCTACTTCCAGGAACACCACGTCCTCATGTTTCAAAGACAGGAAATGGAAATACGGCCTGATGGCTCTGCAAGGCCCACACCAAGAGGCTGAGAAGTCCACTGCCACCAGCTTCTCCCCGGCCTCTTTAAGCACCTCATCAAAGTCCTCCTTGCCAATGATATTTCTCACCATGTCTTCCTCCGGAAGTTCTATTTCTGATTCCAAGTGTGAGATGTTGCTTTCATCGGGTGGCCTTGTATCTTCTAAGGACTTGATAATGTAGTCTTCCTGGGATGTGATGGTGTCTTCTGGGGACTTGGTGATTTCTCCCTCCTTGAACTGGATGCTGTCCTGTGAGGACCTGGGGATGTCACTCGCTTTGAACAGGATTTTGTCCTGTGAGGATTGGGGGATGTCTCTCTCCTTGGGTGAGATGCTGTCTTTTAAAGGCTTGTGGATTTTATCATCTTTGGGTAGGATAGTGTCCTGTGAGGATTTGGGGATGTCTCTCTCCTTGAACAGGATGGTATCTTGTGAAGATTTGGGGATGTCTCTCTCCTTAGGTGAAATGCTGTCTTTTAAGGGCTTGTGGATTTTAACATCTTTGGATAGGATGGTGTCCTGTGAGGATTTGGGGATGTCTCTCTCCTTGAACAGGATGGTGTCCTGTGAGGATTTGGAGATGTCTCTCTCCTTGAAGAGGATGGTGTCCTGTGAGGATTTGGGGATGTCTCTCTCCTTAGGTGAAATGCTGTCTTTTAAGGGCTTGTGGATTTTAACATCTTTGGATATGATGGTGTCCTGTGAGGACTTGGGGATGTCTCTCTCCTTGGGTGAGATGCTGTCTTTTAAGGGCTTGTGGATTTTAACATCTTTGGATAGGATGGTGTCCTGTGAGGATTTGGGGATGTCTCTCTCCTTGAACAGGATGGTGTCCTGTGAGGATTTGGAGATGTCTCTCTCCTTGAAGAGGATGGTGTCCTGTGAGGATTTGGGGATGTCTCTCTCCTTGGGTGAGATGCTGTCTTTTAAGGGTTTGTGGATTTTACCATCTTTGGACAAGATTGTGTCCTGTGAGGACTTGGGGATGTTACCCTCCTTGGATTGGATATTGTCCTCTGATGACTTGGGCATGCTGGCCTCCTTGTGATGGCTGCTGCTTGCTTCAGGCTTGAGGGTGGTCCCCTGTTTAGGCTGGGTGGTTTTTGCCAAGGATTTGGTCATGTTGCTCTGCTTGGTCTGCATGGAGTGGCCTGAAGTCTGAGAGATATTTTCCTGTTTTGGATTATTAGCTTTGGCTGAGGGCTTCGAGGCATCGCCCTCTTTCAGCTGGGTAGTTTTTGCTGAGGGCTTGGGGCTAACTCCACGTGTAGGATGGATGGTACTTTCTGAGAACTTGGGGGTGTCACTAACCTGCTGTGAGATCTCAGACTCCTCTGTGAACACATGGGGTGTGTTGCTGACCTTGGGAACAATGGCCTTCTCTCTGGCCCGGGCTGTGTCCAAGAACCCTGGGACCAGAAGAGCCTCATTTTGGGATAGAACCTGTAATGGATTTTCTAAACAAAAAATAAATAAAATAGAGATGCAGTAGAAGAAAGAAAAGACTGACTATCTATACCAAGGGAGACTTATTCTTAGAGATAAGAATGAACCTGATGACTAATACGGAAATCTGAGTAACTTCACTCATCAGAGAGCCAGGCATCCATGGGGGTTACATGGGTCTCTTCTGTGCATTCCTTGCTTTGCCGTCTACTTTCCTTTCTCGGTTTAACCCAGCCTCCTGCTCCCCAAACCATAGACCCCCTAAGGCAACCCTCTTCCTTTCCTTCTTACCATTGGTGTCATTCCCGCCCATTCTTCCTTGATTGCCTAATTTCAAGGATGGCCCTCCAGGGGTTCTTGCTTGAACACTGCTCTTGTCCAACTTCTTGTCTTGATTCATTCTTTTGCAAGGGCGGGAGAGGGAAGTCTTTCTTAGATTCTTCTCCTATAGCCAAACTAAGGACAAAATGTATGTGCTAACAACTTAAAACTCAGGCAGCCCTCCACAGCGGATGTTCCCAGCCAGTACTCCAATAGTGGCAGGTGATAGTTTCATGGTGGCCTCCGTGCTGGCCGTCACGCTGTGTGTGGCTGCAAGTCCATAAACAGGCATTATTTCCTCAAGTGCAACCAGCTACTGAGGTAAGAGCCATTGTGATCAGCACCACACAGGTGGCAGAACTGAGCCTTAGAGAAGTTATATGGCCAGGATAAGTCAGGGTTCAAAACCTACACTCAAATAGTATTCCGGGCTCTATTCTTTGCCATAGAGTCTGCCTACGCCAGGAGTTTATAAACCCAACTTTTTTATAGTTTTCCCCCAGGATTCTCTAGCACCAGATTTCTCCTTATGACTTTATTAACTATGTTAGCTGCTTTTTCTAATACTATAGCAAAACCACGGAAGGTATGGGCTTCACAGAGACATGAGGTTTATTTAGCTCATGGTTCCAGAGGGTTAAGGAAATGGCACCAGCATCAATTTGGCTCTAATGTAGGCTTCTTGGCAGGTGGATGAGAGGTCCCAACGATGAGGAAAACACAAGCAAGAAGATCACATGACAGAAGAAGCCAATGCGTGGAGAAGAACTATGCTTGCTGTCTGTCTTAGGTAGGGTAAGCACTACAGTTATCAGAAACGACATGACTAAAGGCAACTCGAGGAGGGAAGGGCTTATTTGACTTCCATATCCTGAGTCAAAGTCCACTGAGGGGAGCCAAGGCAGGGACTCAAACCAGACAGAAACCTGAAGGCAGGAGCTGATGCAGAGGCCATGGGGAGGGGGTGATGCTTACTGGCTTGCTCAACCTACTTTCTTATAGAAGCCAGGACCACTATCCCAGGGGTAAGGTCACCCAACACAGTCTGGGGCCTCCCACATCAATTACTGATGAAGAAAATGCCCTACCTGCTTGTCCACAGCCCGATTTCATACAGGCAGTTTCTCAACTGGGGATTCCCGGTCTGCGATGACTCTAGCTTTTATCAAGTTGACATAAAACTAGCTAACATAATCTCCTCAGAATAACTAACTTAGGGTCATGAGAACCACTTTAATCCCTCCTGAAGGAAGAACCCACAAAGACCTATAGACCACCTCTCAACCTTCCTACACTGGAACCAAGGTTCCAACTCAGGAACAAACTACAGTACTCACTGTAACTATCTCCTGCGGATCTCCTCTGAGGAGTGCCACGTCCTAGCAAACATGCATCTCCTGCCAGACAGCCTCTTCTCATCCCCATGAGCCCTACTTAATTCCACCATCCTCCTACCTTTCGCCCAAAGAGCAGCTTCCTTGTGGCTAGTCCCAGCTGCAGCAGCCATGTGCAGCTCACCATGCGTAACTGGGAGTGGGCTCCCACAGAGCTGGGACTGGAGCTCAGCCTTGCATGCATGAGACATCTTCCATCTTTAGCAACACACACACACACACACACATACACCTTGTAGGAAGAATTCTGAGGTTATTTGCTTGTTTTCCATATTTAGTCTCCAAGAATGTGTGTGAGAATGAAGTTCTGCGTTTAAGAAAAAGTTCTACATTTAATCTTATGTATATGGTGGGATTGCCTGCATAGATGTCTGGGCACCACTTCCGTGCCTGGTGACCATAGAGAACAGAAGAGGGCATCAGATCCCCTAAAACCGGAGTTACAAGACAGTTGTGAGCTGCCATCTGGCTACTGAGAATCAAACCTGGGTCCTCTGGAAGAGCACCCAGTGCTCTGAACCATTGAGCTCAAGTTTTGCATTCTTGACAGATTTTTTATGACAAATTTTCATGTTTCTTTCACCACAGTATAAGAAGTTAAACTTAAGAAGGTTGTCTAAACAGTGGGTGCCCATGATGTCTGTAGAAGCTTGGAAACATCTACTAGTAGTGATTTAATTATCTATCAAACATAGTCTATGAAAGAAGAAAGTAATGATGGCATCAATAAATTCCCTTTTAATGGGATATATTTTACCTGTTCTTTGACAATTTCAGCAATGTGTCTTGATCATATTCACCTCCCGTACCCCACTTCCCCATATCCCTAGGCATTCTCAACACATTTCCTTATTCACTTCATGTCTTCTCTTTTGCAGCCTACTGAGTCCAGTTAGCACCTGCCTGTTGGAACACTGATCTTGTGTAGGTGACCACTGACCGCAGTGAGTTTGCCGGGGCAACAGCCATGCCCTATCCAGAAGACAGCACTGCCCAATGCTCCTTCCATCCCCTGCCTCTTTCATTCTTTCTGCTTTCTCTTCGATGACCATCCATGAGCCTGGCGGGGAGAAAGTTAACTTATTCTCAGCACTTAGATGGTCACTGCTGTCTTAAAAGGGATATCCTTGAGCCTTGCTCACTGTGATATAAACTTCATTTCTTGGGTGTGGGCTCTATAAGGCCCCAGGGAGTAGATTATGATGTAGCTTTCCTAGTGGAGAGGAAGAAATGAGATCATCTCCCTTTCCATGCTGTAAGCGTGGAAGCCAGAAGATAAGACACGTATCCCAGCCTCTCCCCTCCAGCTTGAAGCATCAGCATAGGTGTTGGTTGCATCTGATCAGAGGAAGGCTGAAAATAATGCTCTCATGCTCTATCGGGGATGGGGGCAGGAAGAGCCACATCCACGTGGATTCCACAGCCTACGCAGTACTTATGCCATCACAACACGGGCCACCAACAGAGAGGGAGCACATGCCCAAGACAGTAGGGCAGGCTCTTGTCCCTCTAGCATGTGGGGGAGATGCCAAGGATCTGACAGTCCTGCACACACCTGAGTGGGACTGGGAACCTGAGTAGGAGCAGTGGACCATGGGGGCCTAGAGAGAGCAAAGAGGCCACGCTGCTGGGAAAGGAGTTGTGGTCGAAGGAGGCAAGAATCACTGTATCAGGAAGGCAGTGTCTCCTGCTACAGTGAGGGACTGGCTGTGCATGTCAGCCCAGGGCCAAGAAAAGCCATTTTACACGGGAGACCAGCAAGAGGTCAGGGTGCACACAGCCACCTGCACAGAAAGGAGAGGAACTTGAAACACAGGGCTGATGCTACAATGAAGAGAGCACAGAGTGTGGATGTTTGACTAACAGGCACGTTTAATTCGACAAGCCTGCTCCTCCCAAGCCCCCACCTCATCCCACTGAGGCAAGGTCCAGAGGGAAAATTGGATCCACTTTAGAAAACCTTTGAAGCTGCATTGCATCCGCCTATCTTAAGGAGAGATAGGACGTCTGTACATGCCTGGTGCTGTCTTTGAGACCTTGGCCGTGTGCTTGGCAGAGCTGTGCTGGTTGTTTCTCCCTTGCTTATGCCGTTCATGGATTTCAAGACACTTGAACTATTGCTAGGCCCGAAGAATTTCCATTCCGCACGTCATAACGTACGTTTTCCCTCAGCACAGGTCTGTCTCCCTGTCTTCGGGAACCCTTCTGTGAGACAGAGTGTCTGAGGAAACCAACGACCAGTTAGTTTAGGCAAAAGATGATGTAGGCAGTTATGAAACAGCCTGGGAAAGAGCTCATTTGGTCTCCAAACAGTGCTCAGTGCTACAGACCAGACCTGCCCATGGGGCTGCAGCCTCTAAGGCTCCAAGAAGGCAGGGAGGTAGGAGGTCGCCACAACCACCATCAATGCTGGCTTCCAGAACTTTCTGCTAGAGATGCAATTCCAGAGTGAGCCTCCGGACCTCTTCTCAGCTCAGTGTTAGAGGTAAACACTGGCTTCTGCCCCTACATTCCTTCCTACTGGGCTCCTGTGGGAACTGGCAGAGCCAGGTGTGAACGGTGGCCTCCTTCTCAAGCAGGTTCATCACTGGAAGAATCTAAGATGCACCTAGAGCCCCAACAGCAAAGGGTCATAACTCCTGCTGCGTTGAGCAGCCCGCTAGAAGGAAGCCTGGGTTAGCACTGGGAATTCACTTCTGCCTCTACAAGAAGAATTCTGCGGACTGGTCTCGCTACACTGGCATAAATTGTGTTTGATTTGCAAAACGGTACAGATTCCTGGCACAAGGACTAGAAAGCTGATACGTGGGAAGAAAATTAAAACCGACCCATTTGTCTGTATTGGTTATGTTTCCCACTGCTCTGACAAAACGCCCATCAGAAAGAACCTTGGGGTTGAGGTGGATGTCGGCTCACAGTTCCAGAGAGTGTTTTGTCATCATGGCAGGAAAGGCATGACACAGGAGCTGAATGGCAGAGGGAGCCCATGGCAGAGGCTTTTTCATGTGAGCAGAGAACAGAGCTGGGAACAGGCATGGGCCATAACGGCATACCCCACTGTAGCAGCCGGACCTCACCTCCCAAAGTTTCATAATTTGCCAAATTCTTCCATCAACTGGGGACCAGACTTTTAAACATGAGCCTGGTGGAGACTATTTCAGACACAAACCTCTCAATCCCCATCTTCAGAACTTATTGCTATTACTGTCACAGCTCATATTGCCTTTGTTTATACTCATATAGATATTCTTTCCTTTAAATATTACTCTGTGTGTGCTGTGAACACACGTGTGCCACGGCCTATTGGTGGAAGTCAGAGGACCACTTTCCGGAGCCAGTTTCTCCTTCCATCGTGTGGGTCTCAGGGATCAAGCCCAGGGCCTCAGGCTTGGCAGCGAGCTCCTTCACTCACTAAGCCGTTTTGCTGGCCTGATTACAGATAGAATCTAATGAGAACTTTCTTTCTGGTTTAAGAGTGATTTTGTTTTTAGTTAGGTGTTGGGGGATGTGCGTTTGTGCATGTGGTTACCCACAGAGTCTAGAAGAGGATCTCTGATCCCCTGGAGCTGGGCAGATTGGTGCTTGTGAGCTTCATGGT